TGCATTTGGATTCTGCCTTGCTTAGCATGACGGCGTCTATCATATGATACCTTTGCGACCGAAAAAGGTAGTTGAGCACTGCCAATGATGGGCACGTAATGTCCATCAACCGTGCGAGCTCTAGGGCCGTCGTATGTAAAGATCGGGCAGTTGAAGGCTGCGGCTATCTCAAGATCAATTAGGCTCAATATTGTTCGAGAAGCTCCGGTATCGTAAAGTGCTTTAAAAACAAAGTGGCTTATTTGTAAGGTTAGCCACCATCGAGGGTAAACTTCAACTAGAACGCATGTCGCAGTACTTTGGTCTGGCAACAGCGAGATCGCTTCAACGGTCCGTGTCGGCGTACAGTCGGTTTCTGCTGATCGCTACGTTCGACGGTCTCCTGTGTCGGCGTTAGCTGATGAGGCCCTCAGAATTAGAGGAGCGGTAGGGAATCTACAACCAGAGTAGACGCTCAATTTTCGAACATTCCGGGCAGGTAGCTTTCGTATAGCCGGGCCAGCTGCACTCCCAGCAGAGTAACTTATCTGCGTCTGAACCGGGGATCTTATCTATGTCGCGATCCGAGCGCGGAGATACTATCTTTGCACGATTCTCGGATCGCTGCACGTCCCCTCGTCCGTCCTTGAAGTTCCCACGTCCTTAACTCCGGCCTCCGCGTTCACGAGTATTGTAAAGTATTGTTCCTTGGCTACTCGATGGTGCGGCGCTCTTCGTCGAGATAGACGTGATATCCACGCTTGCAAAGGGATAAATAAAATTTATCGTCTTGAATAAAGTACTCGTCTTGAGTAGCAGTAAGTTCCTGGTACTTCTTAGTAAAATAATTGTTGAGAGATTTCTCTAGTTCAGCTTCCGAAATAATCGTGCTTTCCAACACCGAAGCGATACCAGCCTTTGAATTAGCCATCAGCTTTGTTTTAGTTTTGTAGGTCGCTTCCGGTAGCAAGCTTTGTTCGGGAGACGGCGGTGGCTTCCAGTATTCGTGCGACTTGGTTATTTCCACTTCTTAAGCCCGGCTAAAAAACTAGGCTAACGACACGATGTTATGCTGCTGCTCTTTTAGCTCTTTCCTCAGCTTGGGGATCATGTTGTCAATTGCCAAATTGATTTGGTTGGGGGCACTCCATGGTCTCTCAATACGGTTGAAGATCGTATTCATAGCTGCACGATAATCTTGACCGGCTCATCCGGCCCCTGCGTACGTAAGTGTGCTTCCACGGATAAATTTCGATTAAAGCGACACGACTTGCTATAAGCGGTTAGCGCTGCAACTTGAAAATCCTGGTACGTATTCCACATTGACTTTAAGAAGCAATACGAATGAAGCACTTGGCCCTTGAAGAGCGTCAATAATGAATCCAAAATTTCGTCCTCGATAATTCAATCTACAGAGCAATTTACCTCCACTCGCTCCAAGAACTTCTCAATACTACTGGTTGCGTTACTAGAAAAATGGATTTTCCAGTCTCTAACTATTTTTTCTAAGCTCCTTGTCTGGGCTCGAGTATGATCTAAGCTGTTTGCGTTGGTATTCCAATTTGGGAGTCCATAGCTAGCCGTGGCTTGCCGTATCGCAATTGATGGTTGCATCTTTGCTGCATGTGTCGAAAAACCCTCTGGTTCATAAGCTCCTCTCTTCCAGCTTGAACTTGTGGGGGTGGACGTTAGGCCGCATGGCTGAAAGCCTTGCGCATTGTTTGACGTGCTTTCAGTTGTGGCAATGTTTGTTACTGTTGATGTATTTCTCAGTATACTAGTCTCATTGGCTGGTGTCTGAGTTCTTTTTGTAGATGAAAATAAAACTGCATTTGGATTCAATCTTGATATTTCCATTATTGTAGTTAATCGAAACCCGGATTAATGAGGCTATAAGTTTCTCTGAAGTTGATGTTTTTGTCTTGACTTTTGTCTTCTAATTATCATTGGTTTCCGACATCAATTTCCTTTTTTGACGCAAGTTCTCGATTTCATTATTGAGCTTTGCATTTACACTTTATAGCCTTGATATATTGCTTTGCAATTCGTCAATCTTTATTTCAAGCGCATTCGCGTTAATGAGAGCTACTATGAGTTCTTTTGCGGTTGATTCTGGTATATACTGTTCTTATGCAGACGGCAGTCTACACCAGATCATTCTTTCTGATATTAGTGTTGTCATTCTTGATTGCGTGTTGATGAAGCTTGTCGTCGTCATTGTTTGTGTCGTGTGTGTTGACGCCGAGTTTGAATTATTTGTTGTGGATCCTCTTGTTGCTATTCCTGTTGTATTTGAAATTGGCGTTAATGACATGACTTCTTGTTCGATATCCTCTTTATCGTTTACATCCTCTCTGTCATCTGATGCTTCAATAACATTGTGTTGTATCGCATTTATAATATTGTCGCGCAATGGCTGTGGTATAGCATCTGATTGTATCAGTGTTATACACAGCTTATCGCGCCTTACTTTCGCTTGTAGCGTCAAATTGTTGACCGTTTTCACGAAATTATCGTTTGCGTAATTACGTTTTAGTCTATTATATAATTTATTCGCGCGTTCTTACATTGTTCCATCGTGATTTAATTCTAAATCAACCAGGACGCTATTTAATGTATCACTGGAAAGTGATTTAATCCACTCCTTGATTCTGTTATCGACCTCTTCTTTGAAAATTATTAAATCCGAAATGTTTTTCATCATGTTTTGTTAAATTATAATTTTCATTTTATAAATTATTTAATTTATCAATATATTAGCGCGTTATATATTTTTTATAAATAAATCGGTTACGCTATTATCATTATAATAATTAAATATCAATATGACATACAATTAATATTAACAGATCAGGATTAACATGTATAAAAACTTAAAATGTTAGAATATTCGCTTACATACAATTTGTATACGTGCAAACGCTGAGATGAAAAAAATATGACAGTGGAAAAGAGAGAGAAAGCCAAAAGACGAGCCTGTACTTGCAGAGCTGATCGCTCGCTTAATCCTTCAGGATTCGGTAGCGCACTCGCTTCGCGGATCTATCTTGCGTATCCGCTTCTCACTAGTAGGCGATCGTTTTAAAGTTTTTGCTCAAGTCCTAAGATATTGCTGTTGATATTGCTAGTCGTGCGAAAGGGTGCCTTGCTTCTCTCCTCGCTACAATTCTCCGTGTCACACTTGTATCGGTCATCCTCCTCACGAGGTGTGCACTGGTCGCCGGTTCGAAGCTAATTGTTCTGATCGCGCCTATTCTCTCTCTCTCTCTTCTCGATGATAATTGCATCTTCGCCTGGTCCGCGTGGCGCGCTTACTATCGACTATCGAAGGGTTGACGCGTTACTTACGGGTTCGTTGACATCTGCGCTGTAAACATCTCATATAAATAAATACATAGTAATATCACAAATATATTTATTATTGGCTTTGTGGAGGGAGAGAGACATAACGAACTACAAGCCGTTCGTTATAAATTTTACGTTATTCGCCAATTACGTAAGTTTTATATATTCAAAATTTAATCGGAGAACTCATACAAAAATTTTTATATGACTTAACTGGTTGTTTACTATCTAATTTTCCCAAATTTATTATAATATTATTATTTTTTGCCTAAACCAAGCTCTGGAGCGAGAACTCGGTGAGAGGTTTTAAGAGGCCAAAATTATTTGCGACACATTGCGGAAGATAAATATGTAAATTAATAAAAAAAATTATTAATTTGTTCTTTCCAATGCTAAATTTTTGTTTGGAAAGAGGAAAATTCTTTAATCAGGATCAAAACAGAGTGTACCTGCAATTTTATGGCCCTCTCCTCATATCGACATGTTGGCGCTTTCTGAACATATGTTCGGAGGCTGCATGCCTTTTGCATGCGAGCGAGAAAGTGCGTTGGGCGGAAGAATGCACAAAAAGAAGGACGCGCGCTTACATCAATGCTGAGTACAGATTTTATTGCCGTTCGGAGACAACCAAGGGAAATCTTTATTGTGATGCTTAACTCGGTTTCCCTCTCTAGTGGGCAAAGGTTTCCACTCCGTCCGTGGTTTTAATATTAGGAAAAAGATTTTTTTAAATTAAATTATACTGCCCGCCGTCTCACTCCTACACTAAAACGGTTACTTAAGGAGTGTAACGAGGAAAAGTAATCTAGAAAAAAAAAAAATTAAATTCTCATAAAAGCTTAAATCTACAGATCAATAAGAATATGAAATTAATGCATAGGTGAGAAATAACCAGTGGCGGGTTGAGATTGAATAGGTACATGGTATATTTGTTTTCTTTCATCCCAATGACGGAAACTGACAAACATTCATAATCAGGTTTCGGAGCAGTAGGTAATAATTCCTGGCCAATTTCAGCGTCCTTTTCTGGCGGTGGTTTGACCAAGCGAATCAGGGAAGTAGTAAGGCTGTTTTATTTAGGCTCCGAACAAATGGAATGACCAATCGTAAATACTGTGTAGTGTAATTTTATTTATCATGATTTTTATTATTTTTTAAATTCCCTGTACTATACACAGGATGATAATAAATTGAACACTTACGGTACCGAAAATCATAAACTTTGACCAAATTCGATTTCAGGCATTATTGATTAGACGTTCCATAGCATTTTTATTCAATAACTTTCCAATAGTTCCTTCAGTATCTTTATTAGGATGACCACGAATTTTTCTGGTGAAATCGTTTATTACTGCTGGTTGAAACAAACCAGCAGTAAGAAACCTAGTGTAGCAGAAAGTAGTAGGATTGACAGATTTAACAAGTGTTCTGGAACTTTTGACCGACAGTATAAACATGACATATACAGACAAACTGTCACAAATGTTATTTTAACATTTAGATCATAGATATAATATTAATAATTGTTACTCAAATATTAAGAAACTACGACTTCATTTACAATTAATTTCTTCATACCCTATTTTGTTCTGAAAGAATTACTTTTCCAACGTACTTGTTAGCATCTTTTAATTGATATTTAAATCATTCAAATACCTTTATTTATTTATTTGCAGGCATAAGCATACTCTACAGAAAACCAATAAAACAGCCTCCTAATCTATTTTCTTTTTTAAGCCCACTCAGTTTAGATGTTTGGATTTACATGGCTACAGCATATCTCGGTGTTTCGGTACTTCTATTCATTTTAGCAAGGTAAGCAAAATTACTATTTGTATTTATTTGTTATTATTTTTGTATGTAACAAATATTACCAGTTACAATTGATAATGACTGGAAGGTCATGTACCTATTTTCTAAATTAAAATATTAGTTAATTGGAAATGCATATCCAGACCTTGATACCAAAAGACTTTATAATAAAAGCTATATTCAAACAATTAAAAACAAAAATGTTTTTAAGCTTGAAGTTGAAGCTAATAATGAAGAAATCATATTTACTCCAAACTTTATCTAAAGTTTAAGCTACATAAAAAAACACTGTGATATAATATTTTTTTAAAAAGTTTTTTTAATTTTATTGATTAAACTATTAATTTATTTTACATGAACTGAAAAAATTAAGAGATAAAAAAAATTTTTAGTGCTTTTTAAGTGGATGTATCGTCGTTAGAAATGATCGTATGAAAATTAAAAAAAAAACAAATTAAATGTTCGAGTCATTAGTTTTTGAATCTTCGAGTCAAAAAATTTGTCAGTCCACGTCAGTTACGTAATCCTAAGATATATCGCGGAAAAAAATTATCCTAATTTTTTAGAATCTTTTTTTTGATCCAAGGATGAGGAAAAAATATTTTTATTCAAACAATTATATGAATTGAAAAATTTGTTCATTCAACTTTAATTTGGGAGGTTATATAGTTAGGTACAACTTGTCTCAAAAATATCGGAGCTGGAATGAAAAGGATCGCACAAAAAATTGAAGATGAGTTTCAAAAAGTTAAACAAAACTTCTTAAATGATCAGTCATTCATTTTACAATAAAAAAAATTCCATGCTTTACATGTATTTGAAAGAAAAAGAGTTTTCTAATGAATTTTTAGATATCAATAAAGTTCAGTGTGAATTTTACAGTTCAATATACCCATAACAATCTCCAACAGCTTAAATTAAATCCATTAAGCCATTTTTTGTTTTATTCAATTGAATTTTTGAAAAAATAATGGATTGCTTTTTTATACTCTTAAATGCCCATAACACAGGTTTACAAAATAAAAAAAGTTGATGCCTATTTAACCAGACCATGTAACTTTTATGTATTTCGATGCGCTGAACACGAATCCGAGGTCCGTTGATCTCCATCACGTCAGGTTCAAGGTCTTTCGAAGGTCAAATGTATTTAATACAACGGAATTCAAAATTTGACTACGGATTCGGACAGAGCGGGAAATTTTACGTTCAAATACATATTGCTGGTTTTTTCCAACATGACCTTTGAAGGACATCTAGAGCTCAAACAAATAATAAATAGACCTTATTTCCTTTTTATCCATATGAACTTGTTTTTAAGACCTCCGATGGGCTTCTATTGTATACTGTCATGTATCTTTGTATTCTGAATACAAACCTGGAATCCATTTGACCTCATCCAGTTAGGATCAAGGTCACTTCAAGGTTAATTCGTTAATTTTGCACAAAAAATACAAATATAACCCTAGTCTTTGAACCCTGGTTGCTTTAACCCTCGAGCTCTGCATCTCTGCGTGACTATAACCCTGGACTCTCAACCTCCGATCTCTATATCTTAATTTTCTCAACCCCGAGCCCGGTAACCTGCAACTCTACAACCCCGACCTTCACATCCTAATTTCATGAACCCCTGATGCTATGAACTTCGATCTATATCGCGAAAGGCTTTTTAGCGTACAGAGGCGAGGGGCCTTGAGGACATCTAGCGCATACTGGACGGTCTCGAGGGAAGCTGTTCTGGTTGTCGATGGTGTAATCCCCGTAGATCTTCTTGCTAGGGAGCGCAAGAGGATCTATGACAGAAGGTTAAACGAAAATAAAGTAGAAGTAGCCAAGGAGGAGAGTGATAGAACAATAGAGGTATGACGAGAACGATGGTCGAGAGATGGTAAAGGCGTATGGACGAGAAGCTCAATTCCCGACATTAGGGCGTGGACGGAGAGGAGCTTCGGAGAAGTGAATTTCTACCTTACGCAGATGCTTACGTGCTACGGGTACTTCAAATGCTACCGGGATTCTCCGAATAGTAAAGTAGAGAACAGGGTTCTAGATAGGAGGATTCGCTTGCTTTTTACCACCGCATAAAAAATCCCAAACACGGTATAGCAAATTCTACACGCCCCGACATTGATATTCTCGAAATCGAATTGAAATCCAATCGAAATTTAAGATCTTCTAACTTTCTAAAGTCAGTTAAAGGTATGAAAATCAGGAAATCTCTGAAATTTATATTAAGTATTTCAATGTCATGGTGAAACAATCATTTTTTATTATAATCTCATGGAGGGTACTTCTTAACATCGAGGTTTATGTCTCTTACTCTGTTAAGCCACCACTCTTCAATGTAAACGTGCCTTCTACGTCTACCTATAGCTTCAGAAGACATAAGCCGTTCTTCGTTTTCCTCAGGGTTTTCACCTGCACGTGGCTCTCCTTCGGGTCGATGGTCGTCCGTATTTTCCGTACTATATCGGAGTACGTCGTGTCCGTGCTCGGCCTGATCAGAACAGCCAAACCCCTTTTCCGGTGGGCCGGTCCGCCTCTGTCAGACCGATTCTTTGCGTCCGTTTTCTTTTTTTTCTTGTCAGATCTTTTTCGCGTTCCCGTCTGCCAGTCCTTGGTCGGTTTCTTCGTCGATGGCCTCTTTTGTGAGGGCTCGACGTTTTTCCGACCAGCGAACGTTTTCGTTTCGTCCGTGGCGTTTATTCGTTATTCTCCACTGTCGTGTCTGTATTGTTGTTGTCTTGGGGACGTCTTCCCGAAACTGTGTCCGATCGCTTGTGCAGCGTGATGTCCACAGTCTCGAGAATTGTCTTAATTCCCATCTTCACTGCCATGTTCATGTTCTTTTGTACGTTTGCTGCTTTGGCCATTTTCGTCGGCGTCTCTTGTATGAGCCACAGCAGTTCCGTTACGTCTCGTGTGTCGTTTGTTATTATGGGTGTCCGTCCTGTCGTCGGTTCTTGGCTGTCAGCTGCAGAGACGTAGCTCACCCCGCTGCCACTGCTTAATACATTGTCCGTCCTCTGTCGTCTTGGTAAGTTCAGTAGGTTCTGATTCGTGTCATTTTATCGTGTCGTCCTCCTCATCCCCGTGCACAAAGTACGGCCCTCAAAATCCCTGCCGCTGCCCGTGGCTACTGGGGCTTTCACCCGATCGGAACCCGGGGTGGATTCCCCCTGAGAAGGAGTTACCACTTGAGGTATATCTATGTTTTTTTTGTGTATATTCATATTTTTTTTGTTTTGTCCCGTTGTGCTAAAGATCGTGGACGCGACTCCACAAACCGCACTGGAACAACCCACGCCCCCTGAGGTACCCCCTCCTCTACCCTGTGTGTTTAGTGTTCCCCCATGTAGAGTTTGCGTGATTGTGAGTGCCCATAGTGATAAAACCGGGCTTCGTTCACGAGGAGAGCCCGATTAAAGGGATCCCTTTCATTCGCTTTCGGGCGGCTCCGTTTATAGGGGTCCCCGGCATTCGCTCTTTCGGTAAGCCCCGTTTATAGGGTCGCCGAGCATTCATTCATCCCGTTTTGCCAATAGGCGTGTGTGTGTAAGTGTTTATGTAATGTGTGAGTGTAGGTATGTGTAAGTGATTAATGGTTGGGCACATCGGCAGAATACCATTATCTTTTGCATCATCTGTGAGCCGTGAATCTTTCTCTTGGCCGTGTCCGTTATAGCGTTGCTGCTCAGAGCATTGACGCGACGGACAACGTTTCCACCGGGCACAATCGTGGACGTTGGAAGCTAGCATTTGCCCAGTGAGGTGTAACCACTCACTGGACCAGCCTGGCATTATTATTCTTATTATAATAATAATTATTATTATTATTATATTACTATGATAATTTTTGTTATTGGTAAAAATACATAAAAGAATATTAATACTTGAACTTCATTTGCAATTAAAGAACACGTTGTTATTGAAAGGGAATTGTATATACATTCATTAGTTTAATGAATGTTATCATATATTCAATGATAATTCCACGGATAAATGTCTTTCACTAATAAAAGTTATTGACAATATGTGCGAATCAGTATATTCTTTTTTTAAATTGTTTTCATCTAGTGTTTATCTCAGCTGCCTGTGTTATTTTTTCGGCAGTGAGTGAGTTTTGTGGGTATTCTAGTTCGATGCCGGAAAGTACGAATAGTACGTCTTTTTGTTTGTCAGTGGTATCATACACATAAAATATTATGAAAATTTTCTTTAATGCTTTTATATAGATTTACATTATTCAATTTCAAAGTGAATAAAAGTTTCTATAAATTTTAAAAGTAAAAAATAATTAGTTTAAAAGTGATTATTTTACAAATACGTATGTATTTTATTCACTTTTTGAACATCTTTTCAGTAATTATTACGTTTCATATAAAATGAATAAATCAACTTTTGTATTTTTGCTTCTTCAAATTAAACTCGATACTGCTCAAGGGGGTCGTCTAGAAAAGATACTGTTTTGTTTCGTCTTGTTTCGAAAATTTATTGTAACGAAAAAAAATTATAATTTTTTTTTCAAAATTCCTTCAGAAATAAAAATGTTTAGACCAGTACAGCCTCTTGTTTAGCCATTTCAAGTGTAAGAATACTATCGTAATAGTTACTTATCATTCATTTTGGGTACGACTCCTACGCAATAGGCTTTATATTTTCACCAGAACAAAAAGTGTAACCAATTAAAAAATGATTATTTAAAGTGTTGTGACGGTAAACGTCTTATTAGCGCTAACGGCCCAACCATGCGACTGCCTGCGAGGGCAGTACCTACTGGTTGGGAAAAATGTGACGGGGGAATTCGGCACGCGACGGGACGGAACGCGTTCGTATGAAAATGAACCAGTCGAGGATTAGCTATCGATACCTCCAGCCGCAATTAACAAGAAAGAGTTTTTCCCGAGTTTTTCCGGAGTGCAGAGACAAAAAGAGAGGAGCTGTGCCATAGCCTGACGGAGCTGAGTGCGTGAAAGTGTGCGTGAGCGGAGAGTTTCGCCATCGAG